GTCTGACACCCGAGTTTAATACCCCCAATGACCCTTGATCCTACGATAGATATCTTTATCTTAGGGAAGCCCGTCTATCTGTCAAAGGATGACCTGTTTGGCACATCCGTGAATTATCCTTTTAATATCATGATTAAATTTCGTTTATGGATGAATAAATACGTACATCGGGTTAAGATGACTTGTGACTGGCTCCACCCCTAAACCCGTGTCAGTGACACTAATTACAGAACGTCAGTATTGATGTATGACATAGAGTGGTTCAAGGTGTCATTTTAAGGTTCATGTAAACATCGAATCCTACGTCACACTAATTTCAAAATCCAATAATGCGTTAAAGTTCACTTTAAATCCACAATTTGGTCCACTTACATGTTCACCGACTCAACAGGAGACAGAGATTTTCTAATAAATGCACTGTAAGACAGACAAAAACACACTTCCTATACTTATTAACAATTCACCGTAATAAATGTTTATCGGATCATGAACAATAGACATCGGAACAAATGCTGACGAAACTAAGAACAACAGACACCAGAACAATGTTCATTTATTCATAAACTATAGCCGTCAGAATAAATCTTCACCATCTCATGTGCAATCGGAACAAATGGTTTGGAAAACCTGTTCGAATTATTCTTCATACTCGCAACAGAAAGAATTCTAGATCTTTGAAACGACTTGTATCATTGCTTGATTTTTGTTTTTAAAATTGAAATGGACTATTTTAATAAATGGAAATCTGAAAGCCAGCACAACTTTGTCTTTATTAGTCCCCTACCGGTGAAACCGAGGGGACTATGGTTTTCCTCTCCGTCCGTCTGTGTACGTACGTAACACCAATGTTTGTCAGCACTCTAGCGGCTTCATTCCTTGAGGGATTTTGATCAAACTTCACCCAATTACAAAGGACTATAATATCTCGGACAAGTTTGAGTTTCAGGGTTGTTGGGTCCAGGTAACCGTTACTATTTTTTAGAAAATCATCGTTTTAGCGGCTTCATTCCTTGAGGGATTTTGATCAAACTTCACAAAATTTTGAGTTTCAGGTTTGTCAAGTCAAGGTCAAGGTCACCGTTACTATTTTAAGAAAATCCTTGTCAGCGCTCTAGCAGCTTCATTCCTTGACGGATTTTGATCAAACTTCAAACAATTACAAAGGACCATCAAGTTCGAGTTTCAGGATTGTCAGGTCAAGATCAAGGTAACCGTTACTATTTTTAGAAAATCCTTGTTAGCGCTCTAGCTGCTTCATTACTTGGGGATTTTGATCAAACTTCACACAATTACAATGGACCATAATATCTTGTAGGATACCTACAGACAAAATATAACTTTCCAGCTCAAAGGGCCATAACTCTGTTAAAGGGGCAATAATGAACTGAATTGAAACTGGATAAGTAACACGTTATTACACATTGGTAATGATATTCACGTCTCTTAATCACCATCGCTGGTAATTGATTTAACAAAAGCAACAAAATATTACAATCATTTTATTTCATAGAATTCGTCTCTCATAATACTAACATTACAATTTCTTGTATTATTGTTGCATTAAAATCAGCTACAAGCTAAGTGTATACTTTTCATTTTCCCACCACTTTAACACCAAAGGGCACCATTTCTATAAATCGTTACAGTGTAATAGCTACCGGGGCCGGTAGGGGACATGTACTGCTTTAGCAATACTTAGTATGCCTGTTAACATAGCGCTGACGACGACACATTTTCATGACGTCCTCTTCATTATGCAGGATTGGAATATGCACTTGATATAATATGATTTAGTGCCGATGTTATAGTTTAGTGTTGTCCTGACGTATGACACACACAGACATGTGTCACACACAGTTAACACGTACTACACGACGCCACTCCTCAGTGTACGCAGAAAGGCTCGCGAACCACTCGTAAAAAGGAAGTCACATGATTCCATACGGAACTACAAGGGTCCCAAGGCCAGATATGCTCAAGATTATTCATTCTTAATTTACTATTACTCATTTCTAGTAAATAAGACACGCTACATGTGATTAGTCATTTGAAGTCCGAGTTGTCTGCCCCTTTCCTTAGCACTTTCACGATAGCTTAAAGGGGATATTCTTGTTGGGTATGACATGAGCTGTTGGTAACATGTTTATTTGTGATATCCGTCAGTACTCTTTATAAATGCTGCATTTATATCATGTGATTTTTTGAGAAGCTGGAACACTGTTGTTCGTTGCTCATTGGTTGAGTTGTTTACCGTAGTTGAACTATTGTATGGTGGTACACTTTGTTCTGAAATACACTATCTGTCGTTAGTGTGGTGAAAGTTTTTTTCATAATGCTTTTCATTAGAATATTCTTGTTCTACCATAAAGGGCGATGCATTAGAGAAGAATAGTGACGTTGCTATACGTGTTGCTACGTCACAGCAAGTAGTGTACAAATATGTGGTTGGTAGAGAAGAATAGTGACGTTGCTGTACGTGTTGCTACGTCACAGCAAGTAGCGTACAAATATGTGGTTGGCAGGGAAGAATAGTGACGTTGCTGTACGTGTTGCTACGTCACAGCAAGTAGTGTACAAATCTGTGGTTGGCAGGGAAGAATAGTGACGTTGCTGTACGTGTTGCTTGGTTGTTTGGTTGTAGCAGCGGTTGAACCATTATTCAGATTAAACCAGGTTGAGTATAAAATGGTCTTTTACTACAGTGTATATGCTGTGAGGTGGCAAGCATGGCCTCGTTATACTATAGCACATTAGTTCCACTCATACAGGCAGGCAAACATATGTGGATGTATTCAGTCAGGTGCCTTAGGTCAAGTACCTAACGCTATTTCGAATGTCTATGAGTAAAGTTAATTCGATGGTTGTGGTACGGTATATTGTAATTAACAATTACAGTACTAACATAGATCGGTGAAAACAAGAGTGCTGTAACGTGGCGGTGTTCATAGGAATTCGGCGTTTCTTAGCCTGCAATATTTATATTTATACATACATGTAATAGGATATACACTTTCAAAATTGTGATCAGAACTTTGTGTTTCTGTTTAGGAATACTTAGAAACCATTTTATAACCAATACTTTTGATCGAACTACATGTTTCACATTTTGCAACCAAAACTTTTGATCGAACAACATGTTTCACATTTTGTAACCAATTCTTTTGATGGAACTACATGTTTCAAATTTTGTAACCAATACTTTTGATCAAACTACATGTTTCACATTTTGTAACCAATACTTTTCATCGAACTACATGTTTCACATTTTGTAACCAATTCTTTTGATCGAACTACATGTTTCATATTTTGTAACCAATACTTTTGATGGAATTAAATGTTTCACATTTTGTAACCAATTCTTTTGATCGAACTACATATTTCACATTTTGTAGCCAATACTTTTGATCGAACTACATGCTTCACATTTTGCAACCAATACTTTTGATCGAACTACATGTTTCATATTTTGTAACCAATACTTTTGATCAAACTACATGTTTCACATTTTGTAACCAGTACTTTTGATCGAACTACATGTTTCACATTTTGCAACCAAAACTTTTGATCGAACAACATGTTTCACATTTTGTAACCAATACTTTTGATGGAACTACATGTCTCACATTTTGTAACCAATACTTTTCATCGAACTACATGTTTCACATTTTGTAACCAATACTTTTGATGGAATTACATGTTTCACATTTTGTAACCAGTACTTTTGATCGAACTACATGTTTCACATTTTGAATGATTTGATATGTTTGTAACTTTGGAAGTACTAAATTGAGACAAACGGAAGTTTGAAACATTTTGTTTAAGGAAAATAAAAGTTATCTGTGAATGTCGCGATTTAAGCCAGTGTGGGATTTCCCTAATATTTCCCACGGAAGCTGTTGATTTTAACCAGTTTGAAATGTGGGGCAAAATGTATTACCGGAAATGACGTTATGTGGTTTTTAAGTGTCATTGTTATTTGTGCAATTCAACACATGCCTGTTGCTCGTATGATGAGAACACTTATCAAATAGTGTGAACATTTAACAAAGTTCCTTCATCTTATGTGACGTCCAGGATACAGACATACGCCATTCTATAGATAAAAACTGTTAAAAAATAACACCATACAACCATATTTTATTCAAAGAGTAAATCGGGATCACCATGCTAAGCATATAGTTAAGATAATCAAGGGGCGGGACGCACGTTTTCGCAGCATCTATGAATCTCTCGCTTCCAAGTTAATGATTAATAATGAAGCATTCCGGTCATATATAGATATAGGACGCATTTTAGGTTTCTTGACTATTTCTTTGTACATTTTGTACTCCTTAGACTATAGAAAAATGCTTTTGTTGTTTACAAATGGAATCTTCAAAGTAAAGAAGTGGCAATTCAACTGTTTGCTGTAAAAAAAAGAAATTGCAATCGTTCCGAATCTGTCTGTGACGCACGCGGTGAAATATTTCTTCTAAACATCTGTGGAAGTTTTTCACACAAGAAGTGTTTGTGTAAATGAGTAACAAATTAGGCTGTTTGTGGTAAAGTGTCGTTTATAAATATCTCTTACAAGCGTCGAGTCACAGAGACTCCTTGGTGTTAACGTATTAAGAGTGAATTCGAATTATAACACTTTCACTAATTCCATATCAAAACCAGTTGGTATAATGTTCCAGTTGATTAGGACAAAACCCCCAATCCATTGTTGCTCCACCGCCTTTACCAATTAAGAAATCTTTGTAGGAATAAACGGCTTTAGACCTTTTGATATGTTTATAATCTCAAATCCAATATATACTGCACAGGATAGAAAACACGCAAGAACTAATGAATCTAACGGCGGGCGTCATACAGGAAACAGTGAAAAAAGAACGTGCATTGTAAGATATATTTGAAACAGATGGCTTAATTCTTGTGTATGAAGAAGAATTACGTTATCGGGTGTGTGGTCACGTGGTTAATATCGCCCGTGATTAATACATTGTATATATATACCTGGCTATATGCTATATTAATACAGGCGGAGCTGGCCGGATGAGTAGATATTTGTAATATATACGCTGTATAGTATACGGGCTAGTATAAACACGACTGGGGGATCGCACACTATAGCCACCGCGAATCGTCTGCTCTCGATTCTCATGTACTCTCAGGATTAAGTATTAAAACAGACGATAAATGCCAGGGCTTTTTACCTCGTCAGCTGTCTCGTGTTGTGGAGCGTCAATGGATTATCACCGCCACGATTTACCATGTAGAGATGTTATCTGTATCTTTATGATATGATAGTATGACAACAGTAAATGCTGTCACCTTTCAATCATAAGAATCCTCGGCGTTATAATAGTATTAACTTTACTATAAGGAAGACATATTAAAGCGTGTATCATGATAGAATCAATTAAGAATGAATCGGTTTAATAAGGAATAGCCATGTTCTGGACAGTGTGAGGTGGATTTTATAAATGTATTTTGAAATATGTACGGGTGATTCTGTGAAGTTACGTAGAGTTTGATGATCTGTTGTGTGTGCGGGCCCCCTTCTGTCTCAACCATGTCCTTAATGCTGCGATGTGGATTTACTACAGCATTGTGGAGTTTAGTGATTGTCTCAATTTGTCAAAGTGTTCCTGCGCCGGACTCTGGTCTTTCTGTGTCAGAGATTCAGGAAACAGGCAAGGTAAGACACTTAATTAATTACAGGTATTACTTGTTGTAATTACGATTTTACCAAACACTTAATTGCATGTGATACATATTGTAATTAAACAGATAATAAACATATAATGTAAAATGCAATTATATTGTAATACATTGTATAATAACTCTTTACTAGACACTTAATTACAGGTAATAAATGTTGAGTTTTACAGGTAACATATTGAGGAATTTCGCTTTACAGATGATACATGTTGCAACTATAGAAGTAATAAACATTTAATTCGTCTTGTAATTAGATGGGTAAAATGACTACACATATACAGGTAGTACACGCTGTTATAACACAGGTAACATATACAGGTAGTACACGTTGTTATTACACAGGTAAAATATACAGGTAGTATACGTTGTTATTACACAGGTAACATATACAGATACTACACGTTGTTATTACACAGGTAACATATACTGGTAGTACACGCTGTTATAACACAGGTAACATCTACAGGTACTACACGTTGTTATTACACAGGTAATATGTACAGGTACTACACGTTGTTATTACACAGGGAACATATACAGGTACTAAACGTTGTTAATACACAGGTAACATATACAGGTAGTACACGTTGTTATCACACAGGTAACATATACAGGTACTACACGTTGTTATTACACAGGGAACATATACAGGTACTAAACGTTGTTATTACACAGGTAACATATGCAAGTAGTACACGCTGTTATAACACAGGTAACATATACAGGTAGTACACGTTGTCATTACACAGGTAACATATACAGATAGTACACGTTGTTATTACACAGGTAACATGTACAGGTCCTACACGTTGTTATTACACAGGTAACATATACTAAACGTTGTTATTACACAGGTAATATATACAGGTAGTACACGTTGTTAATATACAGGTAACATATACAGGTATTACACGTTGTTATTACACAGGTTAAATATACAGGTACAACACGTTGTTATTACACAGGTAACACATACAGGTACTACACGTTGTTATTACACAGGTAACCTATACAGGTAGTATACGTTGTTATTACACAGGTAACATATACAGATACTACACGTTGTTATTACACAGGTAACCTATACAGGTAGTATACGTTGTTATTACACAGGTAACATATACAGTTAGTACACGTTGTTATTACACAGGGAACATATACAGGTAGTACACGTTGTCATTACACAGGTAACATATGCAGGTAGTACACGCTGTTATAACACAGGTAACATATACAGGTAGTACACGCTGTTATAACGCAGGTAACATATACAGGTACTACACGTTGTTATTACACAGGTAACATATACAGGTACTAAACGTTGTTATTACACAGGTAACATATACAGGTAGTACACGCTGTTATAACACAGGTAACATATACAGGTACTACACGTTGTTATTACACAGGTAACATATACAGGTAGTACACGTTGTCATTACACAGGTAACATATACAGTTAGTACACGTTGTTATTACACAGGTAACATATACATGTACTAAACGTTGTTATTACACAGGTAACATATACAAGTACTAAACGTTGTTATTACACAGGTAACATATACATGTAGTACACTTTGTTATTACACAGGTAACATATACATGTAGTACACTTTGTTATTACACAGGTAACATATACATGTAGTACACTTTGTTATTACACAGGTAACATATACATGTAGTACACTTTGTTATTACACAGGTAACATATACGTTATTACACAGGTAACATATACAGGTACTACACGTTGTTATTACACAGGTAACATATACAGGTATGACACGTTGTTATTACACAGGTAACATATAGAGGTACTACACGTTGTTATTACACAGGTAACATATACAGGTAATACACGTTGTTATTACACAGGTAACATATACAGGTATTACACGTTGTTATTACACAGGTAACATATACAGGTATTACACGTTGTTATTACACAGGTAACATATACAGGTATTACACGTTGTTATTACACAGGTAACATATACAGGTATTACACGTTGTTATTACACAGGTAACATATACAGGTATTACACGTTGTTATTACACAGGTAACATATACAGGTATTACACGTTGTTATTACACAGGTAACATATACAGGTATTACACGTTGTTATTACACAGGTAACATATACAGGTATTACACGTTGTTATTACACAGGTAACATATACAGGTATTACACGTTGTTATTACACAGGTAACATATACAGGTATTACACGTTGTTATTACACAGGTAACATATACAGGTATTACACGTTGTTATTACACAGGTAACATATACAGGTATTACACGTTGTTATTACACAGGTAACATATACAGGTATTACACGTTGTTATTACACAGGTAACATATACAGGTATTACACGTTGTTATTACACAGGTAACATATACAGGTATTACACGTTGTTATTACACAGGTAACATATACAGGTATTACACGTTGTTATTACACAGGTAACATATACAGGTATTACACGTTGTTATTACACAGGTAACATATACAGGTATTACACGTTGTTATTACACAGGTAACATATACAGGTATTACACGTTGTTATTACACAGGTAACATATACAGGTATTACACGTTGTTATTACACAGGTAACATATACAGGTATTACACGTTGTTATTACACAGGTAACATATACAGGTATTACACGTTGTTATTACACAGGTAACATATACAGGTATTACACGTTGTTATTACACAGGTAACATATACAGGTATTACACGTTGTTATTACACAGGTAACATATACAGGTATTACACGTTGTTATTACACAGGTAACATATACAGGTATTACACGTTGTTATTACACAGGTAACATATACAGGTATTACACGTTGTTATTACACAGGTAACATATACAGGTATTACACGTTGTTATTACACAGGTAACATATACAGGTATTACACGTTGTTATTACACAGGTAACATATACAGGTATTACACGTTGTTATTACACAGGTAACATATACAGGTATTACACGTTGTTATTACACAGGTAACATATACAGGTATTACACGTTGTTATTACACAGGTAACATATACAGGTATTACACGTTGTTATTACACAGGTAACATATACAGGTATTACACGTTGTTATTACACAGGTAACATATACAGGTATTACACGTTGTTATTACACAGGTAACATATACAGGTATTACACGTTGTTATTACACAGGTAACATATACAGGTATTACACGTTGTTATTACACAGGTAACATATACAGGTATTACACGTTGTTATTACACAGGTAACATATACAGGTATTACACGTTGTTATTACACAGGTAACATATACAGGTATTACACGTTGTTATTACACAGGTAACATATACAGGTATTACACGTTGTTATTACACAGGTAACATATACAGGTATTACACGTTGTTATTACACAGGTAACATATACAGGTATTACACGTTGTTATTACACAGGTAACATATACAGGTATTACACGTTGTTATTACACAGGTAACATATACAGGTATTACACGTTGTTATTACACAGGTAACATATACAGGTACTACACGTTGTTATTACACAGGTAACATATACAGGTATTACACGTTGTTATTACACAGGTAACATATACAGGTACTACACGTTGTTATTACACAGGTAACATATACAGGTATTACACGTTGTTATTACACAGGTAACATATACAGGTACTACACGTTGTTATTACACAGGTAACATATACAGGTATTACACGTTGTTATTACACAGGTAACATATACAGGTAGTACACGTTGTTATTACACAGGTAACATATACAGGTATTACACGTTGTTATTACACAGGTAACATATACAGGTACTACACGTTGTTATTACACAGGTAACATATACAGGTATTACACGTTGTTATTACACAGGTTACATACGCGATTCTGCAGTAGGATTTGTATTGTCTGGCAGCCTCGCTACCGTATCAAACCAGACGCATGGCAGCATTCGTATAGAGTTTTCTGTGAACTTATTTTTTCGTTACTGATTTTATTACTTTTACTATTACTTAGCTATTTACTTTTGATGAATTACATGTGTCCTATTTAATTTTAGATTAATTAAGTTTACACCTATATTTTGTGATGTGTCGTTTCCGTAGATTTCTCTTATGTTATATTGGATATTGATTTAATTACATTCCATATTCTTTATGTTGTGTGTTATTTTATTATATGTTTAAACAACTCAATCCTAGACAGATGAATGTCCTTAAGTCACTTTATTTTTTTTTTGAATTCCTTTAGATTCTGGTTGAATTGAAAGTAAAATTGAACGCATTCGGACTTTTTTAGGCAATAAGAATGTCTGATAAAAATATTAAATTCAGCTTTTATTTTGTTATTACTAAAATAATATGTTCCGCAATGCCGTGTACAATAAAATATAGTATATGTATTGTCAATTTCCTTGATGTCTCACAGTTCCCTCATAATAACCGACACTCTACAATAAATCAATGTTAGATTCATACTTGTTCAGTTTCGCCGTTTCTTACTACACATATTTCCTATTTGGAGACCACAATATATCATTATTTCATTTTCCCCCTTTATTATATATAAATGTTGAGTTATTTCCTGAATTATATTAAGGGGTAAAAAAGAGAAGAATGTATGTCGGCAGTTTTATTGTCGTACGATGTTGTAGTAGGTTACCTTACGGGCAGTGCTCCACTGAGCCACTTATAAACAATGATCTGCTGGCTATAACACCAGGTACACGGCAGACCATTACAGGGCCGGCATATGTTAGGGAGCAGGTGTACAAGCTTAGTAGAACTCACTTCTAATATGAATGTTTCGTGCAATAATTTTTCACTGGTTCAGTCAAGTTTAGTTTTGAAAAGTCAGACGTGTATCCTCTTCCTGTTGAAACCAATTTGAAACGTCATCCATGAAATTAAAAAAAACCCACACCTTTGGCCAAAAAACC